TTAATGGCTTAATGTTGGACTTGTGGGCTTGGGCAGCATTGGGTTGGGATGTTTTCGTGATGCACACTTTCTTTACATAAAACTCTCTTATCCATGAGTTGCTGTGGATTTGTTTCTCTAAAGTACCTAGACTAACACAGGGTCTGTCTCTAACATAGCCTTCTCTGGGCTCTTTCAAAGTATCTCCTTTTTGCATTCACTTCAACCCTTAGTTGTCTTATGTACTTGGTCCACAATATAAAAGATGTTTAATTTGATATATTTATTAAAGAGCATTTTGATTTTTAAATTCTTTATTAAAAAGCCAAACAAATATATTCGAATCCCTGGGCATCGTGCTTCGTAAAGCAAAGGGTCAGAGAAAGGAGGAGCTCTGAACGAGATGGGCTGTGCCCGTGGCTGAAACAACGGGCTCCAACAACGACTGTGAGGAGGGCGCGAGAGCGGGCAGGCAGGGCTTGCTTGCTGGGGTGGCACGTGCTAGGGCAGGCAGGGCTTGCTTGCTGGGGTGGCACGTGCTAGGGCAGGCAGGGCTTGCTTGCTGGGGTGGCACGTGCTAGGGCCGCTGTGAGCGGGACTGATTCAGGGGCACCTAACAACATCGACACCAGAAGAACCCTGGCAATGTTGCTTCCCATGGACTTTATTGAGCCACACAGTATATTTAGTTAAATAGTGATTCCCTTTCCAAGGGTACAAATTAGTCACTAAAAGAATAGAAATAGAACTAAGAATTTGCCTTAGTAGAGGAGGAAATAACAAAAATGTGGACAATCTACCTGAAGGCAAGAAAGAAGAAAAAAACAAAAAAAAACCTCACACCCACTTAATGAACTTGAAATCCAAATCGAGTAATGCACTCAGCTTTGCTCTATTGACAGTTTGGGTCAAGTGGTTATTTGTTACGGGAGGCTGTCCTAAGCACTGCAGGATGCTTAATCACATCCCTGAGTGGACTCTCTGGATACCACTAGCTGTACCCAAGTTGTGGCAACTTAAACTGCCAGAAATTTACAAATGTCCGCAGGGGACAAAATCTTCTCCAGTTGAGGAGCATTGAATATATCAATAATGGCAATGGAATTGGAATGAACCTTTTCATTAAAAAAGAGGGACTATCTGTTTAAAGCAACAGAATTTCATAAATGATGCTCTAAAGACATGATGACATAAAATGTTGAAAAGAAAGGATAGTCTATGAGTCCTGGTGGCACAGTGGTTCTGTGTTGGGTTGCTAACTGCAAGGTGAGCAGTTCCAAACCACTAGCTGCTCCTTGGGAGAAAGATAGATATTTGTACTCCCATAAGGAGTTACAGCTTTGGAAAGTCAAAGGGACAGATGTACCCTGTCCTATAGGATTGCTATGAGTCAGCATTGACCCACGGCAGTGAGAGAAATATATATAGGGGGAATGTTAACCAAAAGGAACTTTGTCTAGCAACATTAATATCAGAAAATCAATTTTACTGTAAAATGCATTTTTCAGGGTGGAAAGAACAATTCACCAGGAAGATAATCATCTTAACCCGGTCTCACACAACATAAAGAGAAAATTCCCGGAATACGAAGAGGGATTGCCAACTATAGTGGTATATCTAACTATGCCTCGCTTAGAAAATGACAAACCAAGTATGTCAAATATTAGTAAAAAGCATAATTAATATGTTAAAGCTAAAGCTTGCACACGGAACCTTGAGTCCAAGAAATACCACACCTGGAACGGGTTACATAACCATCGCATGCACCAGGCTTCAAAGAACATTTAACTTCATGGAAACTGTGAATAGAATGAAATCATAAATAATAAAAAGATGGTTCCTCCAAGTTGTAAATGTTTACAACTAAAAGGTCTAGATATTGATACTCGAGGAAACTTGACTTAATGTGTATAATTCCACACCGGAGTTCCCTGTGGGGCGGAGTGGAGGGATGGAGAGAAAGCGTGAAGAGACTCTGGGATGCTCCCAGACCAAACTCACTGCATTCCAGGCCCTTCCCACTCATCCTGATCCTGGAGGACCTACGGCAGAACCCTCCCTGTGACTCTGCCCGGGAGTGCAAAGCCTGGTTTTCCTCCCACGGAGGGACTGGTCATTTCCAATTGCCGACCTTGCGGTCAGCAGCCCAACACGCACCTCCCACTCATCTGTTTCTGGATTTAGGTGGCTCTGTAAGGGTACTCAGATTTTGATAATTAATAAAATCGTACGGTTGTATTCTGTGCCCTTTTTGTATGCTATCCATAAAAAATGTTTTGAAAGGTGCAGTCCAAGCAACCCTTAAAGGTAAAATTATCGTCATAATACAGATCGGATAGTCAGCAACGAGATACTGAAAATCCCTGGGTAAAGCTTACAATTAAGAATCATAAGACACAGTTAGGATTCAAGAGCCTGTTTACAATCCCTTTAGCAATTTCTCTGTGTCATATTACCTAAGGTTATGGAAATGGGATGTAATAGGAGATACTGTGTAATTCCCTGAAAAACTGGAAATGACTCTTCTAGGTCACAGCAGGAAAACCATGTGGCAGGAAGTAGCCAGGGAGCATCAGGCTTAGGAGGGCGTTCCTATTAGAAGACAGAAAGCAATGATAATTATTCACAAAAGGAAACAGTGAAAAATCTCTCTCTAATGAAACAATGCAAAACCCATGACCTTCAGGTGCAATCTGACTCATGATGACCTTGTAGGACAGAGAAGACCTGCCCCATGGGACTTCCATGGTGGTGATCTTCCAGAAACAGACGGCTACACCTTTATCCAGAGAAGTGACCGGTGGGTTCAAATGACCGATATTTTGATTAGCAGCTATCTGAGCTTTTAACTAGTGTGTGATCAGGAATCCTTCCTATTTTTTTTAACAGCATGTTAAAAGTAGCCAAGTACCTAAAGAAGTAATAAAAAATAGTGAAATAGAAATGATGTTGAATCAATTTTACCTGTAAACTTTTGCACAGACATGTAGCTGATGAACAATTTTCAGTTGACATTTGCAGAAAGCAAAGTTGTCATGGTGATTAGTCTTAGGGCTCATGATTTCATTCCCCTCCTTCCCCCAGGGAACTACTGTCTTCAAATCAGATTCTCATAATTTTAAACCCCAAGGCGACAGAGAACGCTGAGTAATGGAGTAAGATGAATGCGGAAACTCAACTCACCCCACTTGGGATGGGTGCATGTGTACTCATCTCTGCTATCCTAGACGTTTCTGAGCAATCACATTCCTTAACCTCTCAGTGCGTCATTTATCTCATATGCAGACTGGGATTAAAGGAGGAACTCACTTGTGTGGATTCTGAAGTTAATAAGAGAAGGCTTTCAAAAGTTTGTGGGGAAATGGAAAGAAAAGAAAGTGGATTTTTCCCCCACAAACATTTTGAAGCCCCCTTGTAGGCATCAAACCCATAACAGTCCTCCATGAGGTGTCAGCTTGTTTATAAGGTTACGGCAGTATTAAGGACCAATGACCCGAATGTGTGGATGCAAAACAGGTGGTGGTAGGTGGCGAGTTGCAAGGAAGGACCTGCTGGTGGAGAGGCCGTGTCTGGGCTTGTCTCAGGAGCATGGGGCGCAGGGAAACACCGAGTTCTACCTCCCCAAGGTTAGCAGAGGCTCAAAATTCTGCCAAACAGGTGTAGCTGCTGGGTCTGTAAACGCCAAGGGCAGGGCGTGTGATTGTAAGACAGAGCAAAGAATTTAGATTGGGATTGAGATGGGGTGAGAGGCAAGGGTTGGGGGATTGTGGCTCATCTCCACGGGCCACCAGGAGTGTGCAATGCGGGAGCATTCAGACATTTTAAAGGGCTGGGGCAGCTTAGATAAAAGGATGAACAGGAAGAAGGGAACTGTAGCCAAACTTCTATCACAGTATTATAGAAGGTGGCACGCAAGTTAACTAAATCCCCCAGCTGTATCGTGAGAGGCGTTTGCAGGCAAGGTTTCACAAGCAGTACTGCCAGGTGTGGTCTGTGGGTTACAAGGCACTGCAAGCAACTTTTATTCGATTTTTTTTTTTCAGAAAAGGAACTTCCATTAGATTTTAACTCGTCACCTTTGTAAGAGGGTCAATTTTTCAAAATAGGTTCACTTGGATCAGCTCAAAGGGTACTTATGGCATCTCTTGTCCATAGGTGAGAGAAATGCCGTACAAAGAGGCAGAGTGAGCTAGCGCTGGCTCCCTCTCCGCTGGGCCACACAGCTAACAGCGGCCCCCAGGAGCCCTGGCTCGTGTGTGGTCTCCATCCAGAAAGACGTCGGACATGTCAGGGGGAAACCGGTACCTTCTCTAATCCTGCAGCGCCCCGGAGAAAGAAATTCCATTCGGCGTCCGTGAGGTTCCCTTGCTGACGCATCATCTCGATGCACAGCATGAAGCTGTAGATGAGCTTATGCTGTTCAAAAAGCCCTCTGGAAACATTGACGTAAGCCGTCAGGAGCGTTTGCTCCAGCAGTATGTCCAGGCGCTTCTCTAGCTCGTTTGACTTCTCAGAAGTTTCGATGGTTGTGTTGAACAGCTGAGTGAAAGAGAGCTCGATTAATGCCGAGGCTTAATTCATTCTCTGTGGAGAAAAGAAAATCCCCGTGCTCCTCCCTTCATTCAGGTTCAGTGTGTAATAGCAACAGGGGAGGTGAATATTGGACCATAACACGCTCAGGAGGTGAATATTGGACCATAACACGCTCAGGATCCGTCCCACACTGTTAGGTGGCCGCCACTCTCTGCACTCCTTTCTCCGCTTGGACGACCCTGGACCAAGCTCACTGCCGTGGAGGGGATTCTGCCTCAAAGAAGCCCTACCGGCCACCTGAGCATCGCCTCATAGGATGCTGAGGGCAGAAGCAGGTTGCCTGCCTCATCATTCTCCCGCAGAGCCTCCAGTGGGTTTGAACTGCCGGCCTTCTGGTTAACAGGTGACTGAGTGCTTAACCAGCGTGCCAGCAGAGCATTTTTCGGAAATGGACCAGTACCAAACTCCCGGCAATAGGCAAGGGCACCATCGCTAAGCCAGACAGGAAACCATGAAAAAGAGAGAAGCTGGGATAGCTAATTTTTTCACATTCTCAAAAAAAAAAAAAAGGAAAGAAAGAAAGAAAGAAAAAAAGGTGTGTGTGTGTGTGTGTGTGTGTGTGTGTGTGTGTGTTGTGAGCCCCTTCATTTTGCAGTGAAAGATGTAAGGACCAGGTAAAATCCTGCACTGTTCTTGACACTTCCCCAGGATAAGGCCTTTGGTGGAAGCATATGCTAGAATTTTCTTTGAAATTTAAGATAAACCCATTTTAGAGGAGCCTTCTATCCTTCCCACTTGGGAATTTGAGAGCACTGTCTCTGGCCCATCATCAAAGTGCCCACACTCCGGGGACAGGGGGAGGCAGTAGAGATGGTAGCACTTAGAGCTTCGGCATGCTAAGGTCAGAGGCAGCCCTGTCCATTTCCTGCAATTTTCAAGTACATGGAGAAAGGGTCCAAAATTCACAGCTCAGGAAGCTGAGAGACTGAACTGGCCTGGAGGTTAGGGGGCGGGGTATATTGAGCAGACAGGTTAACGTCACCAAGGACTAGACTCTAGTCACTGGATGGACAGATAACCGCCATCAGAGGATCCTCACAGTGCGAAGGAGGCAGGTGAAGCAGTGTCTTCCTCATTCCCGAGTTCCTCTGAAAGGAGCCCAAACACATGGAGAGAGCAGATGGCTCAGAACAGACCCGATGCTGGAACCAGCTGAGGTTCCAGGGCAGATCAGGGCCAAAAAGTGTACCCAACTCCTCCCTAAAAATACCACCCTGCATGGGTGCAGGGCTTCCCGTGATCCAGCCGTCCTGCTAGCTGGCTGGGGCACAAAGGAAGGGAAACAGTCTGATCATGACAAAGTCTTCCTAGTGAAAGATAGGGGCTCATTCACAAAAATTTCAGGGCCTGGAGGAAGCATACAATTACTTGATTGGCAACGGGCAGTGGAGTTGTTATTTAACACACTCAGTAGACAAGCGGATTAACCTTTCTTTAACCAATTGACCAGCAGTAGAAAGGTTAAAGCCCCGTGAATATGTAGTAAGTTTAGTGCCAAAAGAAAACACGAGGAACCTGAAGATATGCTAAATGCTCTCAGCTTAAACCACACCTGGGTTTGGTAGAGGACGTCCCAGCTAGGGTAGGGCCGGCCCCTGGACATACAGGCCAGTTTCTTTGTAGCTTCTCTTTCAAACAGGGCTTGGGTGATCCAAAGCCCACCATGTGAGTGAGATCCCTCTTGGAGGTCCAACCTGGTCGAGCTTCCAGATTCCTGCAGCTCATCAGGTGGCTCCGCAGGAAAAGGTGGCATTTAAGCCAGGAGAGAGTCTAAACAGAGGGAGCTCCCTAAACATAAAACGGCCCATCCAGTGAGTCCAGTGAATAGAAATGGATCAATTAGCAGAGGCATGTGGCTGGGGAGACAGGCTAGAGGTGTTTCTGAGTTCCAGGCCATGTAGGCTGAGCAGTGTTTGATGAGTACTCTCTGTAAAGATCTATATAGGAGTACAGGGATGTGGGTCAGGATTTTGGAAACACTGGGTCTCAGCTGACTGGGTTTCCAGGTGTGAAAGTTAGCAATGACGAAAGATGATTAGAAGCATTTAAGAAGAAATGAAAACTGGCCTGGAAAGAGGAGATGTCTACAAATCTCTGGTGCTCCCTGCTGGGAGGAAATGGGACTGTCTATTCCTGTAGAGACTCACAGTCTTGGAAACTCACAGGGGCACTTCTACCCTGTTGTATAGGGTTGCTCTAAGTCAGCACCAACTTGATGGCAGCGACTTTGACCTCTGTCTATCCTGAGTGATGCTTACAGAGAGGCATTGTTTTGGGGAGATACAATGAAATGCTGCCACAAAGGGAGTGCTGGGTGGAACCAGAGAACTACAAAATGTTCATGGGAAAATTCCATTTTTCCACCGACTTTTTGTAGCGTCCTCCTGGATCCTCCTCCTCAGATGAGACCTAGCTGTGAAAAGGAGATGAAGTCGAGAGAGCAGAAAGAGAACACGAGGGTCTCACAGTCATAGAGAAACCAATTTGGCCATGATTGGTGTGGTCAGGGACTTGCGATATAATGTGGAAACACTCACAGTAGAAAGGGAGCCAGATTATGTAGGAAAAAAATCAAGAAAAAGCTATGACTCTTCAAAGAAAAACAAACAAACAAACAAACAAACAAACAAACAAACAAAAAAGAAGGCTGGCAAGAACAGGAGAATCTAAGCAAGCTAGTTTAGTTGAGAGGGTCAAGGGAAAAGGAAACAAGGAAAGAGACTTTCTTTCCTTCTTCGACAGATGGTTCTCTGCTGAACTTCAGGAGGCAGAGCGAGTGAAGACCCTGGGGGGGGCGGGGGGCCCAGACCCAAACTCCTCTACATGACAATTCGAGTCCTGACTTGTTTGAGCCAGGAGGAATTCAGGAAGGACTAAAGGGTCTAAAGTACAACCAAGGAGATAAGTTACATTGACAACAGAAGCAACAGCAACCCCCACCACCGTCTTACCTGCTTGAAATATTTTAGGGAATACTGGTACATGGGATCTATCTCGGAGAGGCTGGCAATGACAAAGTACATGACGGAACCTTGTGTGGCTACTGGGCGGTACTTCTCACGAGCGATGTTGATCATCTTCTCGGTGGACTCTGCTTCTTTCAGCCTGGTTTTAATGGCACCAGATGTGATCTGAATTGATACACAATAACATGTTCTTAGAGATCTGTCCCAGAGAAAAACAGTGGGACGGTGAAACAGTGGAACAGTTTGGGGACATCTCCAGTTCAGCCTAGGGAAGACATAAGACAATAATAAATTCAAGATTATAGGAAAGGGGTGGCCGCATGGAACGGCTGACTCTCAGTGACAGCTCTTGGCAGAGCTGACCTCTTTTCCTTCCAGTTAGCAGGGAGAGAGGCAGTACAAGTACCCCGAAGTAGCTGTGTCTCTAAGACAGTGTGGTTCTCAACCTTCCTCATGCCGCGGCCCTTTCATACAGTTCCTCATGTTGTGGTGACCCCCCAACCATAAAAGTATTTTCTTTTTTTTATTTTTTTTCTTTCTCTTTTTTAACATTTTATTAGGGGCTCATACAACTGTTATCCCAATCCATACACACATCAATTGTGTA